ACTTGCCTTAGTTCAGCAAAGTACGCAAAACAGTGAATAAAAACTGTATTTATATTTTTTCCCCATTTGAAAACTGATAAAACCACAGAAAAATGAGATATTTGTCATACTGCCCACCTTCACTGTGATGACGAAATGAGCACCCTAACTAATCACACTGTTTTTCCCTGCGTGCTGTGAGCATCCTGACCAATCACAGTCCCTGATGAGTCAGAGTTAGAGATGAGTTAGTCATTCTGTGGGTGGTATGATTATTAGTGCTATAACGCACACTTCCAGGTCAAGACTTGAGTTTCGATATTTTGTGCTAAAATTGTCTACAGAGCTTTATGGATCTGTTTAAATTGGATAAATAAAAGTTCTCCAGTGGACTTTTTTCAGCAGCTGTCACAATGTCCCAAAATCATAATCCCTACAATTTATAAGCAACAAAAATCTTTATAAGCAATTTATCAGCAACAAAAAAAAGCTCATTTGAGTATGGGAACATGAACAGCATGAGCCCCACCCTTCCTCACACACTTTATGTTGACAGGCTGCTCCTCGATGCCTAGTTTTGATCACTAACAGTGGCTGCCACGAAAGTTACCATGGGGCACACTGGCCATACAGTTCCACATGCATTCTGGACAATCACTGTTTCCAGTTTTTCAATAGGATTATCGTTACACCCTTAATGTGTGTATAAACACAAAATATCTAATACAATCAAATTTTCAATAGGAAAGCAAACAAGAAAGCAAGTGAGACAGACCCCAGACTTCTGTGCTACTGTAAACAGAATAAAAAGGAAGGAGGAAAACTTTTACTGAAATGCCCATCCCTAGAGCGCGAGTGAATGTGATGTGAGAATCGCTCTCTGTTGCCAAGTTACATAACTGTCATTTCCCAGAATACAAAACCTACGCCTGATAACGTTGTATGACTCCAATAAAACATTATCAGTCAATCAAATATTAAGCATCTTTGTAAACAATATTAACTTTGAGTTAACAGAAACATCAGCTCCTCCCACACAGTGCCTGACCGCAGTGTTTGTGACTGAAGTTTACCAGACAGGAACAATACGAAATCTTACAGCCTGGAGCTACGGCCAGTTAAGTCACTCAGCTCAGTGGAGACGAGCTTCACGGAGATAAAAATGGATTTCTGACACCTATTTCCTTAAAGCCGCTTGTCATTCCTGCTCATGTTTCAGAGGACAAGTTTAAGCCCTGCGAGACTGTCAGGCTGTGTTGTCTCAGCACGATCGAACACTGTCAACAGATTACTTTAAATGAAATAGACGCTTTATCAAATACTCACTTTCTCTTAGAACTAAATTAATAATAAAGCGTGGCTTAACATTTAAGCTGAAGTGTAATGACGCTCATATTCTCACATGATTTTTAAAGGGCCCATATCATGGAAAAACTTCCCTCACTGCTTTTGAAGTTGTATGTTAATTTAGAAACTTTGGCAATGTTAACAGTTCACTCTCCAGTCCATATAGTTTACATATAAAAAACTAGGCTGCAAAAAAGCCTGTTTTGAATTTACTCTTCCTGTGACGCTCATTTTCATATATCCTCTTACTCAGCCTACAGCCGTTCAGCTCCACCCACTCATGCTGAAGTTATAAGGAGTGTTTCAGCTCTGAGTGCTTTGTGAATGAGGCACAACACAGGGATCAGAACTGAGCTCGTGTACATACACTCAAACTTAGGCTACGTTTACACAGCAGGTAAAAGTGGCCCAAATCTGATTTACTCACCAAATCCGATTTTTTTGTTTGGCTGTTCACAATATCTTTTAAATGTGAGCTGTATGTGACATCAGTCTGAACAGATCAGCTCCTAAACCGCCCCACATGCGCAAAAGAACAGTGCTTCACGTGGCGGCTTGTCCAGAGGTAAACAGTCATGACGGCCAGCGAACGCCAGTCGCTCCCGCAGCTTTCAGTTCCGTCTTCGCCTGCATCGCATGAGCGAGTATAAAGTTCCAGTGGTTGACAGCTGGACTCATCACCCACAGTGTGTTCAAGTTTGCCGAAAAAGGGCGCGTTATTTGGCCACGGCCACTCCTTTGGCTCGAGTCCTCAAACTCTTTTAACTGTTCTCTGACGCTGCAGCCCTGGTCTCCTCCGGCCGCGTTCGGCGGTTTCGTTCGAAACCTCTCTGAACACGGAGCGGTTTGATGAGTCTCTTCTAATGTTTTGGTACAGAAACATCAGACTAAATGTTTATGAGTCTCAGCAGCGCGAAATTATGACGAATGTCGAGTTGTACAGACGTAAAAGTCGCATGAATTCCGATCTGGCTGTTCAGACTGAGTCGCATTGCCGCAGATTGGATAGGTATCGGATTTCAGTACCACATATGAAAGTGTCTCAAATCGGAATTGAAAATGTCAGATTCAATGCGTTTTTTGCTGTTCACACTGCCACACAGATGACACATCTGTGTCACATTCGAAGAAAAAGATCGGATTTGGGACACTTTTATCTTCTGTGTAAACGTAGCCTTAGAGGCACGGTAACAAAAAACACCTCCAAACCTGGGGCTAAAGAGAGAAAATGACCATGTGAAAATGAATGACTGTTTTTGGCACAAAGCATCACACAAACGCTATAAGTGGACCTCAAGGGAAAAAATAAAGCACAATAAATAAAAATTAACTTTTAAAAATAGAAGATATGGGCCCTTTAATGCTGTAATGAAAGTTCAATTCGACTTTCAGTATTCAACAGACAATAAGCGAAAGACGATTTTATTTTTTACATTTGACATTGAGATTGCTATATGATAATCAAAAATCTTCAATCAAAGATTACAGGAGGCAATTAGAGGCAGCATAAGAACCTTTTTTTAAAAATAAATTTAAAAACTAAATTCAATTTGTTTTTAAAATGCTAAATGTGACTGATTTTCTACAAAAACTGTCCCACAGCCTCGAGTCCCGACAAGCACAATCATATCCAGTTTTTTCTCACATACACTGTACAAAGTTGCTGTGCGATTTTTTTCAAAGTCAAATTCAGTGCATTTTAGTATCGTCTTACGTCCTCAAGAAAGTAAAAATAACACCATTGCTACCGAACAACATACACAAACTCAAATATGCCATGTCTGTTATTTACACAGATTAATTACTAATCAAAGTGGATATAAGCTAGGATTTGAGATGTATGCATAACGTATGTCTTTTCAGTGCATTTGACTTTACCATCCTTTAGCCTTTAATTAGTGGTCAGTTTCTGACCAAAAGACCACTGTAGGCTGGATAATTTTGGTTTGAGGAATATTTTAAATTAGTTTAATAAACACAAATCATTCCACCATGGTGTTTAGGCATCATCTTAGAATTTAATATCCCTAACAGTAGGAAAAAAAAAAGTAAAGTATTTAATTATTCTTTTTTATTTAAAATAAAAAAGATTCGAAGACCTTATAAAATACTGGGAACCCTGACACCAGAAAGTATGTCCTCATGATGACGTAGCGCATTGTTCAGCCATTCTGAATTAAAAGTGTCATTTTATTTGACAAATGAAAAAACTTAAAATCATGGAGACCCCCTTTCTTTCAAAGTTTTTTTTTTTTCAAAGTTCCAATGTTCAATTTAATCAATTTTTGATTCTAAGTTTAACGCACCTAAATATGACACATACCATCACAAAGCTTAGTCTCTTCTACGAAAAGAGAAAAAAGTACCCGAGAGCCTGACAGCGAGGTCATCTGCAGCTACTGCAATCAACCCAGCAAGAAATTCAGCTTCGCAGAGGAAGCAAATCATTACCACCACGTTCACACCTCCCTCCACATTGCGTTAGGCCACATTCACAAAGGTAGGAGGTAAGAGGTAGGAGTGAGAGCGAACGCTGTTTATTACCTATTGCCCATTAAAATCCCTCAGTCACACTGGCTTGACGCATTACTGTAAGTATTTCCTGAAAAACCTGCCCTCTTAAAGCATACCTGCTCCCCTGTTACAAATAAAGGCTCATTCCCTTTGTATCAGCTCACGCAGCACACTTAAAGGGGGAAGCTGAAACAGAAAAAAATAAATGACTATGTACAGTGAGATTCACTCGAAAGAGGTCTCGCTGGGACGAAGCAATCTGAACGAAACATCCGTTTGGAATGGGTGTAGACCCCCGTACCCCTTCATGTGTCTGGCAGAAAACGGAGATCACTTCCAGCATCGCATGTAATGCAATCGATTACACATACATCAAGATATGTAGCGCATTTTTTTGGTTCAGATTACTTCATCCTAACGAGAGTCACAACAGAATATTCGGGGCCTCTTTCGAATGAATTTCCCTGTACAAGTGTGTTTAGCTGTTGTAAGCCTATGCACATTCAACAATGCACATTCAACAACAAAGATATTTAAGGCTCTGAGTCATCAGATCATTACAATCTACAATGGCTCAAATAAACAGTACGGGACTAACCAACTCAAACACAAATGACCTCTTCAAAGTAGAAAACAGTTCTGGATAAAACGAAAGAAGCTGATCACCAGCAGCAATAAAAAAAAAAAAATCTCAAAGGAGAGCAAGAAGAGAAGCCGCTATTTATACACGGTCACAAAATAGACAGATGGTTACAGCACAAGCCAAGTACCATGTCTACTATGGGTGTAACGATGTGTGTATTTTCAGATTTTCAATTCTGAGTTCAAGGTTTGATTTGATTTTTGTAGGTTAAAAATTGAAGCCACAAAGCTCGAACTGTACTACACAGATTTTAGTTTGGACAAATAAAAAGTCTCAAAAAGAAAACTAAAATCATTCTGTGAAATAAGGTCTTAAATAACCTGGGAGGCTATGAGTTCTACCTAGTGGCAATCTAGAACAGGTGAAGTCATGGTGGATGACCTTGACAGGGGGCACCATCATAGTCCCCACAATGTCAATGTCCTTATTGTTGTGTTAAGTATTTTTTCAAAGTATTATCTGACTACATAAAGAAAAGACAAGCATAAGATACCCAGCTTCTTTCCCCCAGCCTTACCAGTTTGATGGCCACATATTCGTTGGTGTAGAGGTTCTTCCCCAGCCGCAGCTCGCCGAAGTTACCACAGCCGATCTTTTTCCCTACTCGGAAGTTGGGGCCAACCATAAGGACCCCAGAGTTGGGCCCAGTGCCCCGGGTCCCAGTCCTGCTATTGGCTGTTTTGGACATCCTCTTCCCTTCCTCTGTGTCTCCCTTCCCACCTCTCTTATCAAAATCCATAAGCTTGTGATACCCTGGCCTCTCCACGGTTACTCACCGGCCATTCAAAGCTGAGAGGCGTCAAAACAAGCCCCAGGGAAACAGTGGGGTCTGAGGCAATGCGACAGAGGAGAGAGGGGGATTTTGTATATAAATATCTATATACAAACGCAGTTCTTACGGCAGCAGAAAGCCTGCCGTTTTACCATCCAAATCAGCGTGCACGCCTTGGTTTAATCCTTCAGAATCGGGGTTTCCCTCCTCTGATGTTGCGGTGCCCTCAGCGTAGCCTGTCACTGCCCAAAGGAGGCAGCCTGTGCAAGCATGTGCACACATACATGCACAAACACACAGAAAACATACATTTGCACACAAACAAACGCACTAACACACACACACACCCACACACACCCTCAGTCACCAACACGCACACATATACACAGTTCCTGCTACTGGATCCAGGAAGCCACAACAAAACGTCCCCATGGGCTCCTCATGGCTTCCTCCAAGTCGGTCTTTGGAAATGCCTCAAACATTCTTTATGCCCAAATATTGCAGTCCGACGCTGGAGGCTGAGGTGACAGGCTTAAGCAGTGAAGTAGCACATCTTCTTGAGATACCTGTAAGAAATTAAAAAACAATGCAGACAGTTAGCAGAAAGGATGCACTGATATGGGAACTGTATCCGGTATTTTTCACGTACATCTCTGTTACTAATGCTGACACAAAAACGTTATAAAACGTAGAAATTGGGACTAGATACTGTATTAGAATTACACAGACATGTAAACATTAATTTCTGCTACAATTCAGGATGCACAGATATGGGAACTAAGAGCCAATGCCCTATATTTTCCATGTATGTCTGCCGATGTGGATACAGCAATATTTCAACAATGTAGAAACTGGAAGAATAATTTATATCAGAATGACAGAAACAGAAGATAATATTTATTTGTATAGAGCTATAAATAAGGTAAAATGAATACAAAGCAGATATGTTAGCAGAGTAACCCAGCGAGACCTAAATATTATGCTCTTCTAAAGTGCAAGAACATACGATACCACACATTTTTTGAGCAAATGTCTGCCAAAACCAATGACATTTGATATCAATGTGCATCCTTAATTTCAAATGCATTAAAACAAATGAAACATCCTCTTCAGTGCAGTAGCCCAGAATTGCCTCAATACTCTGTTCTAAACAAAAGAATAAACGAAAACATCAAACATTTGTTTTTAAGCCATTATCTACTGATACCGATATGATTCTGACATCAATGTGCAGCCCTAATTAGCAGAGGAGAGGAATTAGGTCATGTGTCGTGCAGAGAACATCAATGAACACTCCTATTTCATTAGTTTAAGAGCATCCATTTCAAAAATCAGTCCAATAAGTGCTCTGAAGATAAATACAAAAGCTTTACACGAACGCCGTGATACTGAGAAAATCACCTAGACAGTCAGACAGACGCTTATCCAAGATCGAACTACAGCTGATGGAGGAGGATCCAGTAACACTGATCAATACTGGAGAACACAATAATAATATATACATGAAGGCAAGAAGGTCCACTGAACAAACAGAGGACTGAATGGGAGGCAGTCTGAGGACGCATTTATTAGGCTTGGACCACACAAACTGAACCTGGGGAGACGCACACCGGTCATGGGATTTTAAAGCATGGAACAAAATGGTTGCAGGTTACAAGCCAAGCATTGCTCGTGTCAGTTTCCACAACCCCTCTACAGTTCCTATAGTTCACATGCCGCCATACACGCTTCCCCCATACCAGTGTTGTAGCACAGGTCTGTGCATGGACACAAAAATAGAACTGCAATTACTTTCAGCAAAACAGTGAGTATGACTTTATTATGGTCCCATATCATGGAAAATCAAATGTCCACACTTTTTTTTTTCATGTAGTTTGTAAACACAGTCCATGGTCCGTACAGTCCAGATATGGAAACAAAGCAGCAAAACTACCTGTTTTCCATCAATCGATGTCACAAAAACAATGCATTTACATATGAAGAGCTTAATTGCAAAACACTAAACGTGTTTACATGCACTTAATAATCCGATAACCGCAGAAAATCAGATTTTGTCAGTAACCCGATCAACACGTTTACATGCACTTGAGTAATCAGATAATGGGAAAACTCCGGGTCTACATGAGTCAGACGCAGATTTTTTTTTTAAACCATCTCGCAACTTTACTCTAAAAAATGAACAGACATCATCTAGAAGATGAAGAATATTTAAATGCTTTATTTTGTGTTTGGTTTCAGCATCGCTCCAAAAGTGTTTTGCTGCCATTTCGCGCCAACGCTGCTGGTACAGCCGTTCTTGCGCACAGGCAGACTGAGAAATCTGATAGAAATCAGAGTAAGAGTTTACATGCACTGAGAAATCTGATTACTGAGCTAAAATCCAGCTCTCTAGATCGGAGCATGGTGTTTACATGACATACATTAGGTTTTTGAAAAGGATGATAGCTGTCAAATAATGTAAAAAAAAAAAATTTTTATTTAATAAAGGAGGCATTAGTCATAATATAGCATTGATTTCTTATATGTGTCCCATCACCGACAAAGATAACATTCACAGAAGTGGCCTGTAATGTATTTTGCAATGAAATTCTTCATATCAGCTTACAGCAGTTTAGCCCCACCTATTCATGCTGAAGTTATAAGGAGTGTTTCAGCCTGGACAACGTCTTGAATGAGGCACAATGCAGGACAGCCAATCAAAACATTTAGGAATCTAACTCTTAAAGGCACAGTAACAAATACAGTCAGCTTAATTCTGAGGGACAAAGAGAGGTTGGAAAAGTAAAAATGAGAGTGGCCACGTAAAAATGAACTATGGGAATGTATGTGATACATAAAACCTCAAGAGGAAAAATCCAAACAGGAGAAAAACATGGAAAACAGGCCCTTTAACCGTGACTAGAATATGTCGACCATCACAAAACACAGAGCACACATGGCTTTGATTTTGCCATGTTAGCTGGACGTCTATAAGTAGACCAAACGCCCAACAAAACCCTCAACAGGAAGTTCTGAGATTAGTCAGCGTGCGCACAATGCAAACACCTAAGAGCTGCAGTAGAACCTGTTTAATAAGCAGCACTGTTTGTAACTAGAACTGACTGTGACGCAGTGAGCATTTCTAAATAGAGACGGCAAAATGGTATCAACGGGTATCAGTATTGGATCAATATCAGAGGGAAAAAAAAGAATGTATTCAACCCAATCCTGTAACAAACTTAACTTGAAATATCACTCAATCACAGCATCATAGAGCGACTGAGTAGTGTCAGAATGACAGACTACTTTTAGATGCTCATCTTAAGTGGTCCAATTAAAAATAGCTAATTTTAAACATGAGTAGTCTGTAAAGGAGAAAAAAAATCTGCTCAGATTGGTACAGATTTCAATATTGGTATCAGAAAAGAAAAAAAAAGTTTTGTGCCGTCTCTGAAAGAAGATAACAAATGAAATGCATTTAGAGATTAAAAAAATAACTACCTGTTCGGCTGGCTTTACACGGTGAAACCTCCTTGCAACTTTAGTTGCTTGACACCTAAATAAAACTAAATTGCACTAAGTTGCACAATGTAAAGCATCCAGCAACTTGTTTGAAACTAAGCCGCAACAGTTGCATGTGTATCAGCTTTGAGGAAGAAATTATGCGAAACAGCCAATCAAAAAGACAACAGTGAGCCTCATTCACCAATATCTTTTAGTTTTTCTTAAATGTGTTCTTGAAAAAGGTCCTCAGAAAAGGTCCACGTCAGATTCATGACGTGTTCTTACAGCGCAGAACTGTTCACACCTTTGGGCTCTTTGAGTGTGTATAGATTCTGTTCTTACCCAAAAACAAATCCCAAATAAGAAACCGTAAGTAAATGACAAAATCTTTGTCAAAACTACATAAGTGGGTTTTAAGAAGAAATTTTTTTTTTAAGAATGGTTGGTGAACGAGGCCCAGTGTGATCAAGCTGAACAACATTTCAAACGATGATGTCTTATTTTAAGGTGACAACGACAGCTGGAAAAGACAAAAATGCAAAAAACGTAAATTACACTTTGCGGATTCATTTTACAGCAAGAAAGATAAATAGTGTACAAATTAAAAATACAAGCTGCTAATTTGCCTAACTAGTTTAATAATTGAATGCACTGTATTATGTGCAACTCTGTTCTTGAATTGCCTAGTGTCACTGTAAAGTTGCAGAGAAATTATGCTGGAGGTATCTAGTTGCATGTAAGTTTCACCATGTGAAGCCAGCCTCACACACACACACACACATTTATAGGTTTGATACGATTTTCGACTCGAATTAAGACTCAATTACATTTTTATTATTTTAGGAGTTAAAAATGTCTCAATTACTCAAAGATTTAAAATGCACACCACATACATTGTTTAGCCCAGAGAAATACACATTTCAACACAAAATACTGCACAGTAAGTCCTAAAAACAGTGGATGTATACAACACAGAATGCACCAGAGGCCTCGATTTGATAAGTAACAGTGGTTTTCAAGAGACATGGGAAATAAGAAATGCACGAAAAAGGCAGAAGTGCATGAACTATAGGAGTGTCGCTTATCATACAGCTCCAGTAAGCCTAATTCTTTGTTTATATTATGACGGTATACAGCCAGCAGCAAATCAGATATTCCATGTTTTTCAACGCCGCAGTGTCTGAAAATTCTGCCATCGCCGGTGAAATAATTGGGACTTTTAATTTTTTGGGGAACACTAAGATAAACACTTGTAGTCCAGACATGCCCCATTCATGTACAACTAAACCCAAACCTTAATACAACCCGCATTAGAAACACTAGTGTGTGTTGAAAACATGTTAAAGGATAAAACAGTGGCTATAATCGTTGCCCCACACACAAGCAGGGATGCCACTGCTCTTCCAGTGATGCTATTACCATGGCATTGTTTACATCATGTACTATCGCTGTTTACAGGAATTCTGCTGAGGCAGAATTCCTTTTTTCAGCACCAACATGTAAAGGCAGCATGAGTGCGCACTCCAAAACAGTCAGAGATGATGTCAGTGGAAGGGAAGCAGAAACAGGTAATGCAGGAACTATTAGCAACGTTGCTTTGGCTTCGTTAGAAAATGCACTTAAACCGATCAATGACCGCCGGGATCAACCCCTGCATCTCGCTGTAAACAGATATCAGAGAACACAGGAACTGGCAGCCTGGTAAAGAAAGTGTGTTTCTAAAGCCATATTTTGGGATTTGGAGTCGATTCAATATCCCAAATTTCAAACGTATTAGTGAACAACAAACGGTCACGCTCGGATAAACAAGACAAATTTCCAGATGATTATTTCACTGCTGTAAGGCAAAAAACTCATTTCATTATCCATCAAGTAGACTGACACACTTTAAACGCTGTAGCCCATTGCTCCGGTTCAATCAGCGCCGTGTGGCTGGAGGGGAGAGTAGGATTTTAAATAAAGGGCAGGCTGAATGTGAAGGAAGGCGGGGGGGAAAGGAGCTCGGTGGCTTGACTCTTCTCAGCAGGAGATCAATCATTAAAAATGACAAAGGCTGAACTGCACATATCTTAACTGTCTTACAGGCCACTCACTCACAAGTGAGTCATAAAGAGAGGATTATATAAGATAGTCCAGCAATTCACAAGAGCAAGGAGCCTGAAATTGCATATGGCTAAAGGACAGACTCCGCCTACACAAACTTAAAATAGATACCGTTTGCTATTTTTAAAAAAAATGAATTAAAGGCAAACTATTTCTTTTATGTACTACAGGAATGCTCCAAAACAGTGACAGGGATTTAACTATTACTGTATCATCACAATAAAAAAAAAAAACAGGACTGTGACAGCTAGCTGTAAGAAAAGGTCTGGGCAGTAGAGACAAATATCACATCATCAAGATCTCAAATAACACATTCGTTTGAAGGCTAATGAAACCCATGCTTCCTGATTGCTGCTAATCTATGCTAAAAGAAGGTCTTAGAGTTTGTTTTGATGTGACGTCTTATTTACTTCCTTCTATTAAAATTGCACTAAAGCAAAACTTACACAGTATTGTAAACATTAGCCAGACTGAAGCACTTTCACAGAAAGGGAATGTACTATTTTGGTAGGTTATATGTATTTCAAATAGCTCTTGCAAACAAAAAGTACCCGGTGCATGACACACTGAGGTTAACCACACAAAACGGCTTTAAAATACTTAAACTGCTGGCAACATGAACACCACTATTACAAGAGCAGAATATTATGGTGAGAATGATCATGTTATCTGTAAATAATATTAGCCAGCAATAAAAACACGATGTAAAAATAACTGCAGCAAAAGTAACACATATATATGTACATAATGCTACATAACACACACAATACTACTTCAGGCTGGTAATCAATGTATTAACAAAGGATTCCAATAACTTGCTATACACTCACTCTGTATATATACACACGTGTATTATATTTACACTTGCATATCTATATATTTTTAACCACCACACCATCCTTCTGCACTTTATATGTAAATAATACTGTACTTTGCACTTCTGGTTAGATGCTAACTGCATTTCATTGGCTCTGTACCTGTACTCTTCATAATGACAATAAAGCTGAATCTAATCTAAATCTAATCTAACTCCTGTGCAATGGCATTTGGAGAACAGTCTAGTGCTGGCTAACACTGAAACAGTGTGAACCAGCTATTAGAGGAACCTTCAGGGCTGGAGCTAACAGGATGTCAAGTAGACAGAGACATCATTTCAGCAACACCAGCGTAGCTAGCTATAAGAAAAGGCCCTCATTTGTCAAACCAGCACCTCCTGTGTTATGTAAGCCTTGTAGGTCTAGTTAGGTTCAATCCTCTAGTCTGTGTGGACTAAGCCGTCAGCTGGCCAGAGCCACACTAATCTACCAGGAAGCAAAGCAAAATGGTGTTAGCTAACCAGCTGCCCACGCCTATCCTGTAAAAAAAAGCTGACAAAATCTTTAACACACACTTAACACTCAAATACAATGACCCCAGGCACAGCATCTGGCCAAGACATAACCGTGGAGGTTCTGAGAAGCTTTTCATTCAGCCAACCTGGACGTCTAACCAACTGATCCACCTAACAAGACAGACAGGCGCTGCTTGAGCAACTTCTAAGCACTTTAAAGCTCACATTGCAACCACGAGGAGACAAATAAGGTCATTCATGTTGGTCTGTTTGAAACAAAAAAGGGATGTTAAGGCTGCGAGTCATTTTTAGGAGCCTTTAAATGTGAAGCTGGCAGGTTAACTGGGGCCTAACAGCTTTACTAGCCACTATGCACTTATTTAGACAACAGTTTAACTGAGCAGGACAAGCAGGCATAGTAAATTTATACAGTTTGGCTACCCTCAGTATAGACCAGCATGTATCAGAATTCATTTACATACAGTTTACCAAGCTGGCGCTCTCTTTTCAGCAACTTTCTCCAGACTCGACTACAACAAATGCTGTGAGCAAAACACTGTAAACACTTTAAAATTAAGACAGGCAGCAGTTTCCAGGTTTCTTATGAGCTGCACTCTTAACAAAGATGGTTTTTCAGGGGCTCTTTAGCAAAGAAATGACCCTTAAGTTCTGTTATAGACCCATTTGCATGCTTAAATGCAAATGGTTCTGCAGGCTGACTAAGAATGTGTTCTATACGGATACATAGAACCTCTTGGAAAATGGTTCTATATAGCACCACAAAATGGTTCTTGTTCTGTTGTAACAAGCTTGACGTGAACCCTTCTTGGTGCTATACAGAACCACACATAACACATTTTCCATCAGTCTGGAGGACAATTTAACCATGCAAAGAACTATTTAAGCATGCAAATGTATCTATAGCTACAGAACTCATGGTTCTAAACAGAACCATTCCCTGTACTACAGAACCATCTTTTTAAGAGTGTAGGTTAGATAGGTTATGAGTCTTTCTGCAGCAATGTTAATGAGAATTGTTGTAAGCTGGCAGCTGAAAACTGGAGAGAGTAGCTGGCTAAGCTAACTTAGATAAGAAAAATATTCATTAATGATAAGAGCCGCGCTCGACATTAGAGGCTGTAGCTATCGTTAGGGCTCTTACCGTGTCACAGACACAGCCTGCTGTCCTCTCGTCCACCTGAACAACTTAAAACAAGTGAATCCCAGCATCAAATATTCACAGCTACTGACCAGCGAGCGCTGCTAACGTTAACTGATTCCAGTGAGCTAACTAAGCTAGCCAGCTAGCGACGCGAGCCGCTGCCGGAGCCCGAACTTCAGGAATAAATTCGCGTTTTTAATCCCTGACGAACAAAATGTCAGGGAGGGATTAGAGGTTTCGTCGTGACCTCCCGTCGACTGAAAGCGTGACAAACGGCGCAGCCTCTATTTCAGCAAAATCCAACTAAAATCCGTTTTTCCTAAAGTGCTCCTAGCGGCTAAAGCTAACTAGCTAATTTAGCTCTAGCTAACATTTCGACTGAAGCGCTTGTCGTACTTTTGACTAAACGCTTTCGAAAGGAAACAGATGTACTTAATCAGGACTTTACCTCTCCGTCTGTATCTCTATGACTGCATGCCGCATATTCCTTTATGTCTGGTTTCAGGCGCTCTTCTTTTTATTTTCCAATCCCCCCCAAACAGCTAGCCGGGCTTTCTGCCTGCCGTTGTCTCTTTAAGCCTCCAGAGTTCGGTGAGGGAAGAAGCGTAGGCCGACACTCCCACTACTGCCGCTGCGCGTTCGAAATGACGCATCTGGATTGGAGAATACAGCGAGCCCCAGTATTGCGCACACCCAAGAGAAATAAAGATATATTTTTTGCGTGTCCTGACGTTCATTACTACGGAAGACCATTCCCGCCACTTAAAACGGAAAAATCTAGCACCCAGTTATTATTTTTTCATTATTAAGTGAATTGCTATGCCATTATTTTGAGATACTAAGACACTATTTTGAGATTCGAAGTCACTGAGATACTGTCTTATTAAACCATTACACACGCAGTCACACACACACACACACATATATATACATATATATATATATATATATATACATATATATATATATATATATATATATATATATATGTATATATATATATGTAGAGAGAGAGAGAAGATAGATAGATATATACTACCTAATTAATTTGAGGAGCTTTTTGATTATTTCGAGAAACGTTCTTGTGATTCTGAGACTTTCTTCTTTTTTTGAGATATATATATACATAATGTATACATGTATACCTCAAAAAAATTTATTATATATATATATATATATATATATATATATATATATATATATATGTACCTCAAAAAAATAAGAAAGTCTCAGTCACAAAGCTTCTCAAATTAATTAGATAGTATCTCAAAATAATGACTTAGCATCTCAAATTAATGAGACAGTGTCTCAAAAAAAAGAAAAAGTATGTAAAAGTAATGAGATAGTATCTCAAAATAATGACTTAGCATCTCATGCAGAAAGTAGTGATTTACCAGTTATGATATGATAACTATGTTTTGAGTTTAACCTAATCTTTGCATGAAGGCAACATCACTATAGTTGTGTGACTTTTTAATTGCATATTTTTCATTCATCAAGTATTTTCTTTTTTCAACTTAATGCACATACTTTAATAATAATAATGAATATTAGTACATGAACATTTCTGTGGATGTGCCTAAGTCTGAATTTAAAAGAATAATGGAATAAAGGAATAATGGATTAGCTTATTTACTATACTTTTGTCATCTGGATGACTGGATCATGGCTAGGAATGCATACTAATGATGATTAACGGAGAGTAAAAAATATCTGCACAAATCAGTCATTGGGCTGTAAACAAAGTAATTCAGAGTGTTTTTATCTGAAACGGTTAATTATAAAGAAACTCACACACTCTGATTTCTTTACAGTGGTGGTGATGGGAACCAGGGGTCACCATATCTACAATACAAACATAGCCATTTTATGTGCTTTCCTAAATGACCAGTGAATATAAACATGTTTCCTCAGTTTTTGTTGATAAAGTCAAATATTAGTAAATTGGCAAAAAGCACTTTTTTGCTTTGCCTGTGTTGACCTCTCTACCGTGAACGAATTTTAAAAAACACCTTTTCTTAAAACTATCGTAAAACAGTCTCAGATATCAGGCGACTTCTTCGTTACCATTTTTTAATGACATTAAACTTTTCAGACGTCGGGTTCCCTTCACCACAACTACGATCAATTCTGACTTGGCAAGTTTCTCTAAAACAGAGCATTTCACACTGAATGGCTTTGTTTACATCTTAACCATTTAATTTTACAGATTAATTGTGGAAAAATAACAGTGTAATTCCCTTTTAAACAGTGCAACAATACAGTTATGCAAAAGGTGATATTGTATAGAAATCCTTTTTCATGTTTGCACTCATGTCAGGATATATTTTCTTTATTGCATCAACAAACAAAGAAATATGTGTACTCTCATTACATTGACATGGTATTAAACAGGTTCTAATGCAATCTGGAGATCTATCTGCATGCTTTGCATGCTTTTTAGCAGGCTTTCCAGAGTAGTCATATACAGAGCTTTGTTTAGGCATAGTGATTCAGATCAGGTTCTTTAAAACAAGTCTGAACAAAGGCAAGCTTCCCAACAGTTCTCAAGCATTTAATTTGAGTGCTTTTAAAAAAGTTTACCCTACACTGATATGCTATAGGAAGTGTATATTTTCTTAAAAAGTGCTCAGAAAAAACAGCAGGGCAGCACCATGTATTTATCTGCAGTGTTGTCAACTATGACAACCTCTAGGGCCTCTTACCAGTGAGGTGTGCGGTTGTGTAAACTCATCAAGAGGTCATTAAACGGCAGTCAAAAACACAAAAGCCCTAATCCCAACTCTCTCCCACACTATTCAGTCCATTTGAGTGCAATAATGTGGCACACAGGAGCACCTGTTCCCATCCTTACTGCCCCCCCACTGACAACTGGCACAGCAGGGTATGTTTTTTCTATCTTTTTTGGGGGGCTGGGTGGTGCAGCTACAAGTCCACACGTGGATAAGCCATGGATTTAGTGTGACAGGCACTCTGTAGCCCAAGGCCGCTGCATTTGCCCATTGGCACCATATCTGCAGCATTACTGTGTGGCTGTATGATGGGTAAGAACGCAGGAGGGAAAGGTAGAGCCGATGACAGAAGGCCCAGAGCGCAAGGCACTGGATGCTGCTGCCGCTCTCCAAATATAAACGGTGGGAGAGCCGTTGGGGAATGCAGACGGGACGGAGGATGGAAATGAGCCGGCTCCTCTTGGGAAGCGCTGGTGGGACTGGGACTGATGTCCCTGCTGGATGAATGTTGCGTTTGGGAAATGGAGCCTTTCTCCTCATCCGTCGGTTCTTCTTTCGCTTGTTTGCTGTCACGGGCGTCCTCTGGGCCTCGTCCTTTTGGGAGAGGGGCAAAACGCTGGCCTTTGCGAAACTTGGCACGCCTGTTCTTGAACCACACCTGAAGAAGCAGATAAAATTGGAACAGCATTATTAACAGCATTAAAGGAAAATAATTTTTCAAAATTTCTGCATAATTAACTCATGGAGAGGTGAACATGGTCATTCAGAGTGGTTTGATGTGAGATACTCTGTTCTACACTCTTAAAAAGATGGTTTTTCAATGGTTCTTTTGTAGAAAAAATGGCTCTATATAAAACCATGAACACTCAAAGAACCCTTTGCATGATAAAGTTTTCTTTTGCATCATGAAAGGTTCTTCAAATTGATGGAGAATGTGATGTAGACGGTTCTATATTAAGCCTTTTTGACCAGGGTTCTATATAGCACCAAAAAGGGTTCCTCTGTTGTTGCAAGTTTGATATAGCAACAATAGCAGAACCCTTATTGGTGCAAAACGGTATATAGAATGGTATATATATATATATATATATATATATATATATATATATATATATATATTATATATATATATATATACATATGTATATATATATGTATATATATAAATATATGCATGTACATATATATATACTACATGTATGTATATATAAAACCATCTTCAGCAGCTTTAATTGAGCAATGGGTTGTTTAAATTTTCATGGTCCATTTTCTTTACTAAGGAACCCTTGATGAACCATCATTTTTAAGAATGTACAGAAACTACAGAGTCAGAATTATTCACACTGGTGGTTATAGGAAGCACTTAAACTAACATGTCTAAGTGTTTCAGCAGTGTTATTGTGCAGCTTCCACACCTGGATGCGAGCCTCTGGGAGGTTGATGCAGACGGCCAGTCTCTCTCTCATGCCCACGTCTGGGTACTGGGTTTGCTGGAAGGCTTTCTCCAGCGCCTGCAGCTGTGACACGGTGAAGGCCGTGCGGCTCCGTCTCTGTTTCTGTTGGTTCCCATAGCGTGCCTCAAGGATGAGCTCTGGAATGCAGACATATTGCTCAAACTTTCCAAAGGAGTTTCATGTAGAATGTCAAACAGCATAGAAATGATGTTCTACTGTTTAGGTCTACTGTTACTGTTAAGTACGTCAGGTTCACCAGCTCCCTTCACTTCATCCCTTCATTGTTTTGTCAGCTCAAGTGAGGCTAGCTGTTTAAGATGTGTATCATGTTCCTAGCTCCTCAAAATGTGAGGCCCAAACAAAGTTTTATAATCATATTTGCTTGCTATAAAGTATCACTTCATCCCATTTGCCAGTTCTACATGGAACCATGAACACTCAAAGAATCTTTTGCATGATTAAATGGTTCCTTGTATGGTGAAATGGTTCTTCAGATTGATGGAGATGCGTTTGTATATGGTTCTATATAGCATCTTTCCGAAAATGGTTCTGTATAGCACCAAAAAAGGGTTCTTCTGATGTTACAGATTGACCTCATAGCAGAACCCTTTTTGATGCTATATAGAACCATTTCAAAAAGCTTCTATATAGAACCATCGACACCACTCTGCAATCAGTTATCTGCAATCTAAAGAACACTTTCATCATGCAGAGGGTTCTTTAAGTGCTCATGGTTCTATAGGGAACTATTTTCTTTACTAAAGAACCATTGAAGAACCATCTTTTTTAAGTGTGTATGTAAGGTTAGTGTAGCAGCTGAGTACCTCTTTGAGGGCTTTAGTAAGACTGTGGTTTCTTTCCAGGGTACGATTTTGGCTCCCAACTACTTACATAGTATCATTGCATGCTTAAATGGTTCTTACATGATGAAATGGTTCTTCAGATTGATGGGGAGTGTGTTGTGTATGGTTCTGTATAGAACCTTTTTAAAAATGGTTCTGTATAGCACCAAAAAAAGTTCTGCTACTGTTACAAGCTTGACATCGTAAAAATAGATGAACCTTATTGGTGCTATATAGAAGCATAAACAACACTTTGTCCATCAATCTGAAGAACCATTTCATCATGCAAAAATGGTTCTAAATAGAACCATTGCCTTTACTGAAGAACCCTTGAAGATCTTTTTAAGTGTGTAATAATAGGCTGGTTGGATACTGGTTGAATGACACGTCCTTCTACACTGTGCTTGCCTTGATTTTGTCTGATCTGTAGAACATCTCCTAGACAAATGTGCCAGCAGAGCTGATCAGCATGTGTCTCCACATGGCTACCAGATCAGGAACCTCAAGGAAAGCAGAGGAGCAAGGACGTTTCACTGATCCAGACATGGTCGTATGGTATAATTTAGAGAGGTATTTAGAGCTTCAGCTAATTAAGAAAACCTTAACAGGCAGTACTCCAGACGCAGGATTAGAGAACCACTGATTTACTGGAATTTCTGCGTAAATAAGTGGCGCTTTTACCCGCAAGGCGCTCCGCCACAGTGAGGCTCTGGATGGGCGCTGCAGCTGGAGGCCGGTGTTGTGCTGCCACCTGCTGGTGAGCGTCATAAAACAGCGAGTTCAGGCGGGGAAACGGGTAAAGACCACTGCTGCCGGTCGGTCCACACAGATACAGCGAGTTCATGTCTGTTTGCTGTGAAGGAGACCCATTAATAATTACTTTAGCTTAGAAATCAATACATAGATTATTCAGTTTAGGCCCAGAAGTATCCAGACACCCTCTCTAAAGAGTGAATTCTGCTGCTTTTAAAGGGGAATTCCACTGATTTTTCACGATTTCTGCATAATTCAGTGACTGAGATGTAAACTGACTGAGAGTGTCTTGATGTGAACTGGCTCATTGTAGAGGAACCTAGAGATTTCTTTACAGTGGTGGTGATAGGAACCAGGAGTTATGTCTGTATTGCACTATAGCCATTTTATTTGCTGTCCAAAATGATAGTGTCTCAGACATACTGGAGGCCATTTCATGTAATGCTTTCTGTGACATAGCACTTAGAGACACTGTAACTCTTCAGACGTCTGGTTCCTATCACCACCACTGTGAATCACCACCACTGTGAATTCTGACTGTAGGTTTTTCTAGAGCAGAGCTTTTCACACCAAACCACTCTGAATGACTTTGGTTACATCTTAACACTTTAAATACACAGAAATGTTGAAAACTGGGTGGAATTCTCCTTTAAGATGCACACGTTGCAGACACTGTTGGGCACAAAGCTTCCTGGCATTATAGTGCAAAAAATTACCAAAACGGAGCCATGCAACATTATTACTGAACAGACAATTCCTAAAGAGCCCACTAACTTTATACTAGTCATGAATCAGCATTAAAAAGAACATCTGGCAAAACTCAAATGAAATAAATCGTAATTAAAATCAAATAGTTGCATTTGCAAAGGCCTGTAAGCAAGAGTTTACCTGGAAAGCTGGAGAGCAAGGAAAATCCTGCACAGTGTCTTTCAGTCCAGTGTTTCTCAGGCCTGTAAGGTCTCACTGCCCCAAGCCCAGTCCAGCAGGGCCTATTTAAGAAGCATTACCTCCAGCGTCTCCCAGCTATTAGCCAATAGAAAGAAAGGTATTAGCCCGGATTAAGTGGGATGAGGGAGAAGAAGGGGGTCTGGGGGGCTCAGGCTTTTTTTTTCCTTTTTTTGAAACTATTGAACTTGAGAGATTTAAGCAAAGGATCTCCCCTTCATAAGCGAGCATTTCAGCCCCCCCTCCACCCACCCACACACACACACCCCCCTAAGTTAAAACAATTAAAACAATGCGGGGCGCTGATCTGTGGGGCTGGCCACATTAGAATAGGGCTTTGGCAGCTTTAACTCCAGGGGTTTGTGTGCGACTGCCTGGTTTGTTTTGCTAACAGGTCCCATATTTTGCCCATAAAGTACAGACTGAGAATGAATCGCACTCTAGGAGTTGCCAGTTTAGCTTAGCTTGGGGTGAAAGGGGAATTCCACCTTCGATTCAAAAATTCGGCACAATTAAATTTGTGAAACTTACAGAATCAGGCTGGTGATAGGAGCTCTGAAGAGTTTAATGTCTCTAAAAGCTCCTTCACAGAAGGTTATTTATCTGCTGCCTGATGCCTGAGACAATGTTTTGCGATAAGATCAAGAAGATCTTGGCCTAAAATTTATTTTTTTAATCCATTTCTGGTGGAGAGGTACATGCAGGGCACTGTGAGGCAAAATAGTCCCTAAAGAAAACCTATTTTTTTTTTAATTTTCCACTTTTTTATCATCATCAATATTTCATTTACCAACTCAAAAGACACATGTAGGTTGACTGGTGGTTGTAGATAGTAAATAAAATGACTGTATTTGTGTTGTAGATATTGTGACCCTGGTTCCTATCACCAGCAATGAACCTTTTCACACCAAACCACTCTGAATGACTTTGTTTGCACCTCAATTTATGAATCATGCAGAATTTTTGAGAAATCGCTTGGGGTGAAAACAAATCCTCTTGACATTTTGCATGTGTAACTGCCACTGACGTCATTTTAAGATGCTATTGCTATTGTCTCTAAAACATACATATACAATTATGTGCAAAAGCTTACAGAGAACACACTTTTGCACAGTTTAATGTCCAGTTACTGTCTATTTGCTGCATTTCACATAGTGAGTGAAAAAAAAATAAAACATAAAATGTAGCCTGTGCAAACGTTATGGTACATATTACATTTCTTGTTTTAGTTTTTCCCCAGTATATTAAAGTCAACAAATAAATAGAAACTGTGCACTGAAATTCTCAGGAAAATTGTGTATTTTACACAGAAATCAACCAATTTCTTGTATTTTCTGCATAATTACACTGTTAAGATGTAAACAAAGTCATTCAGAGTGGTTTGGTGTGAAATGCTCCGTTCTGGAGAAACTTATTGAGTCAGAACTGTTCACAGTGGTGGTGATAGGAACCAGACGTCCACCTCTAAAAACTCCCTCACAGAAAGTTACTACATGAAATAGTTATGAATTCACTGCCTGATGTCTGAGACATTGTTTTGTTTTGAAACAATTATAAACATTATAAGGCAATATAATCTACAAAGAAAACACTTGTCTTTCTTATTTACTAGTATTTCACTATCATGAAAGATGCATGTAGATTCACTGGTGGTTGTGGATAATAAATTAAAGTTTTATGTCTATATCTGTGTTGTAGTCATGGTGACCCCTGGTTCCTACCACCACCACTGTAAAGAAAGTCTGTAAGTTTCTCTACAAAGAACAATTCACACCAAACCACTCTGAATGATGCTGTTTACATCTAAATCGTTCAATTATATCAACATTTTTATAAAAAGGTGAAATGTGTTAACTTATTTTCACTTAGAAAGAAAACAGGTCATGTAATGTGACCAGGGGTGTTCAAACGTTTGCATATGACTGTATATATCCAGCCCTTCTAATGAGTGAAGTCAGCTCCTTCAACCCCTTGAAATCTCAGGCTTATTACACACTAAGGCTTATTATTCAGTAACTACAGGGACTTCAATGCAAACTGGCTGAGCTATTCTTAGGTTATAGAAGTGTGTAAGAGGTCAAAGTGCACCCATTGCTGACACAGGTGTTCATTCACAGTTCGTACAACTGACCAGTAGAATAGGACGCTCTAGGGCTCCATTCTCTGGAGTGATGGAGCTCCATCCAATAACTTCGGGATGAGTTTGTGATCCAGAACTGATCATCCAACATCAGTAGCTGACCTCACTAATGCTCAATCAAATCCTCACAGCAATGTTCCGACATTAGGGTAAAGCCTTCCCAGAAGAGTAGAGGCTGTTATTCCCTATTAATACCCTTCATTTCAGAAGAAACACTGGATAAGAAGGTGTCTACAAATGTTTGGACATATAATGTACACATCTAATGCTGTAATGTTAGTCAATTAATTATGTAGACATTTTAAAAAATCATCAGAATTCCCGTTTAACACCTCCACTCATTCAGTTTAGGTCTTAAAGTGAGACAAAAACACTGATAAACAGTTAAAAATGAGCCCGGTCAATGAGTATTTCTCTTTATGGTGAAAGGAAAATGACCAGTCTTGTCATTTTTGTTTTTTTTTTTATTTACCATTTGCTTTAAACACCCTGTCCCTGCTCACCTTTGCAGCGTGGCATTTGCTAGATAAACACTCAATAGCCTCAAATCAGATCATCGGCAGTAAAGCTGTGGCGGTTAGGGGCTGCAGGGTTTTAGAGATGTAAATTCCCCTAAAGCCTGGTCAAACTGCGCTGCTTAAGGCCAGAGAGATGGAGCATGCAGGGGAGCTAGATTACGTTTCCCACGAGTATCAGCGGTGATCCACGGTCCTGTGGGGGTTCACCCCCCACACACAAACCCAGAGGGCAGCACGGGAACCAAGCGCAGCGGCCAAGTACGGGCAGCATGGGCAGGACACTGGCAGAAAGAAAGCCACGCCACGTATTGGCCTTTACCTTCGCTTTGGCTTTGGAGAAGCTGGAGTTTTTCTCTCGCCAGTGATGGAATTCTAATCTTACTAAATCCACTTATGAATAATAGATGTACACAGAGGCCCATGATTTCATTTAAAATATGTTTCTTTATATGCGTATATATATATATATATATATATATATATATAATATATATATATATATATGATGTGTGTGTGTATACATATAGCACCTTTTTGAAAATGGTTCTAACGGGTTATGCTATTGTTGCTATATCAAACTTATAACAACAGAGGACCCCTTTTTAGTGCTACATAGAACCCTACTTAAAAAGGCTCTATCTAGAACCATCCACAGTATAACCTCCATTATCGCTGCTGTCGGAACAAAACCTCGTATCTCCAAAATGGTAACTTTACAGGAGAAGGAAAAAACATAATTCACTTTTAATGTAAGTCAATGAACCCAGATTTTTTTCTATGTCATCTTTGGTTGTTTCTTTTGATCCATGCATCATGAAATTTACACACAATGTTAAGGACAACAGACATTTTCAAATTATGTCAAAAACAGAAAAACACCAAAACCAGAACACCAAAAATGGAGATACAAGGTTTTGTTCCAACAGCAGCAACATATAGATAGATAGATAGATAGATAGATAGATAGATAGATAGATAGATAGATAGATAGATAGATAGATAGATATGACAGAAAGGTGGTCTTTAGGTAAAGAATACATTTCAGGTACTGAAAGTCAGCCAGTGAGAGTTTATTCCAGCCGTTCTTCCACAGAACGGTAAGATTCCTTATAATGTGGGTGTAAATGACAGAAAACATTCCCTAGGTGTTCCCTTTCATGCTGAAATTCCTTCTTTTCTGAAATTAATTCTAATATTTGCACACTTAAACGCCCCCTCGGCTACCTGTTTCCAAGCCGTGTGGATTTTGGTTTTTCCCTGTATTCGGACCTTTTTTTACCCCCTCCTTCTTCTTTGCGATGCTCTTGCCTGTCAAGCTATATTAGTGTCTGCTTAAAATAAGTCATTTAGAAGAGCTTCGGTGGCACAGGCCTTGAACCCCATTTAAAGCTCCCGGCTCAGAAGCCTTTGTCTCCTCAGCCTGCGGGATTAGCGGAGATTTGCTGCTAAGAAAAAAAGTAGTTATTTCATGGCACTTTCATGATGAAA